ATTTAAAATAGAATTTTAGTTATTTTATTTTATTTATGTAATTAATCTATTTTTGTTTATATTACAATTCAGTAAATGCTATTCTAATTTATGTAATACGTTATTATATAAGAACATTTATACTATACATATTATTAACAGGTAAACTTAAATCATATTATGCATTTTGTTTTAGTGAGTAATTTAAACGAATATTTTTGTTAAGATCATATCTATTTTACTTAACAAATAACTTTTTTCCACAAAAAGTTGACATTTTGTATGTTGAATAATTATTTTTTATTCAATCATTCTTAAACATATGCATGTACACTAAATTGTTTCTCTTTAATTTTTATAATACTATAACAAAAAATTTGTATAGTAAACAATATGATATTTGGAAATTAAAGATGATACTTTTTGGGTGCATTAATATTTTACACTTATGAAATATCATATATTTTATATTTAAAAAATCTTAAAATAATTTTTCTCTTACATTTTAAAGCTAACTTTAAAATAACCAAATCGAAACCTAACGTATATAGTCATATATGTACATTAATTCAGAATAATATAATTAGGAATAAATTATTATTTAAAATATATGGATTTGTGTAGGTAATGTTTTGTATGTGTAAGAACTTAAAGATATAATTAAGCATAAAAAATAAAAGATAATAAATAGAAGGTGTAACTTCCTAACATTAATAAGAAAATTACATTAATAACCTTAAAACTTATCTTTTTATGAAGGTATTCTTGACAATTCAAAAGTTTCAAGAAACATTATTGTGAATTGGAAGCTAAAACATTATGTTTGAATAATTCGTTCTCAATTATTTTGATTATAGTGGTTGCAAGTTTAGTGATATTTGAAAGTATAATATTTCATAATACCTAGATAAACAACATAAGAGACACATAAATATTTGAAAATATCTTTAAAATCGTAATTATTAAAAAAAAATTACATGAAAAAGCTTAAGATGAATAACATCTTTATTGATTAAAGATACCCATTTATCTATATATCTTGTCCAACATAAATTATTGTCGCATCTCCTAAAATTGTCATACATGCATTATCTTCGTTCAAGGATTTTCAAGACTATCATAAATTTGAAAATTTAACAAGTCTAGTTTTAATGAATTATAAAATGATGATTCTTTCATATTTTTTTTTTTCTCTTAACCTTACTTTTTATATCTTCGTCATTATTTTGTATAGTTCTTTTTCCTTACTTTTGAGAAGTGATTTGAAACATTTAATTTATGAATGATTTTATAAATAAGATATGCTAGAGACAACAAATTTAAAGTAAAATTACTGTTTATTTTTATTTAATTATGTTTAAGTGTAATTATTTTTCTAATAAGTACACGTATTGTGAAACTTAAGATTTAAAATAGAATTCTAGTTAAATTTTATTTTATGTAATTAATCTATTTTTATTTATGTTATTCAGTAAATACTATTCTAATTTATGTAATACATACATTTATACTATACATATTATTAACAGGTAAACTTAAATCACATTATGCATTTTGTTTTATTAAATAATTTTAACGAATATTTTTGTTAAGATCATATCTTTTTTACTTAACAAATAACTTTTTTCCATAGAAGTTGACATTTTGAATGTTGAATAATTATTTTTTATTCAATCATTCTTAAACATATGCATGCTCACTAAATTGTTCTTCTTTAATTTTTTTAATACTATAACAAAAAATTTGTATGGTAAACAATATGATATTTGGAATTTAAAGATGATACTTTTTGTGGTGCATTAATATTTTACACTTATGAAATATCATATATTTTATATTTAACAAATCTTAAAATATTTTTTTCTCTTACATTTTAAAACTAACTTTAAAATAACCAAATCGAAACCTAACGTCATATTTACATTAATTCAGAATAATATAATTAGGAATAAATTATTGTTTAAAATATATGGATTTGTGTAATTAATGTTTTGTATGTGTAAGATCTTAAAGATATAATTAAGCATAAAAAATAAAAGATAATAAATAGAAGGTGTAACTTCCTACCATTAATAAGAAAATTACATTAGTAACCTTAAAACTTATCTTTTTATGAAGGTATTCTTGGCAATTCAAAAGTTTCAAGAAACAACTCCTCCTTTTAAGAGAGTTATAGATAGATAGATAGATAGATATAGATAGATAGATAGATATAGATTATAGATAGATATATAGATTATAGATAGATATAGATATAGATATAGATAGATAGATATAGATGTTTTGTTTCCCTGTGTGCAAACACCCAAACATATTGCTGTCCGCTGCTAGATTTTGTGTGACCAACAAATTTCATATTGCTTGCAGTACTTGTTATTATTAAAAACACCTCATGATTATTTGGAGAAAACCATGTATGCTCTACTTTAGTGAATATATAGTATTTATGCCTTGTTGCGTGTTAGGTGTATTGCAAGGAACTGTTCTACAGAGATCTACCTGAACTGAATGATTCAATTGCCGATAGGATTCTGTCTGGCTGCTCTACCATTGAGGAGGCAAGTTGTTACACCTGTTTTTCTCACATGATAAAGATTGTGGATTCTTCACTTCTCTGTTTACCTGCACTAAAAATGGCTCACCCCAAGATTTCTGTCGGTTCGTGTGCAGGTGAAGGCAGCTTTACTGCAAAAATTTATTGAAGTGGAGCAAACAGCGAAAGAACAAGCCACGGATAATGCTATTTTGGACCAGCTGCAAAAAGTATTCTCAATTTCACGCTTCAATAGTTTAACTATTCTAATTGGAGGTCTTTTAATGATTATGATTTCTAACATATTACCTGGGATTGTCATTCACTTTGATAGTACACCAATTGTGAAGCTTTCAAATAATTTGGTAGAATAAAATTACACGTGTATTGTTACAAACCTAGGGTTTTGAATAGATAATCTTCCCTAATCCACATTGGATGATGATATAGTGTTCTTCAGGAACTATATCCGCTTTATGGGCTTTGAGTTTGAAAAGGTGGAGGTGGAGGATTCGAAGCATTGAGTTTGAGCAAGTGAAGTCGATGTTGTTCTCTAGTTTGTGCTCTAGTAAAGACAATGTTGTCTCTAGTTTGTGCTTTTTTCCGACGGCACATACCGAAGAATAATTGTTTTCCGCTGACAATGAGACCGAGTAAGGAAACATCGACACCAATGTGTCTTGCAAGTTAGTGCTTCACATGATAATTGGCAATTTGTATGGCTCCAGTGTTATTACAAAGAAGAGGTGTAGGATAATCACATGGAATACCATAATTAGTTAACATATCATAGAAGCCATTTAACTTCTGAAGTAGTAGTGACAATTGCTCGAAGTTCTGCCTTTATGCTAGATCGAGATACAATTGTCTGTTTCTTGGATTTCCATGTAAGAGGGAAGAACCAAGAAAAGTGCAATAGCTAGAACAAAGAACAATGATCTGGTTACTTGCTCAAGTAGAGTTCGAGTAAGCATGAAGCTGAAGTGGACATAAAACTAACAAGATGTTCCCGGTAAGTTCTAGAACACATGAAGCTGATCACCTAATATATGAACAACATGAGCAATGAAAGGCGAGGTAACAAAATAAGATAAACGAGACTGCCCGCAATATGTCGATATTGAGAAGGATCTTCAAAGAGGAGTACCATCAATAGGACGAAGCTGCAGGTGAAGATCCATAGGTGTTGCCGTCGTTCGATTATCTGTTAAAACCAGAACGAGCAAGAATATCTAGTATGTTTTTGGATTGAGAAAGGTAATAGCTCAAACAGAATGCCAAGAAGTAGATGAGAGAACCCAAATCAAACATTTGAAATTTCTGACCAAGTGGTAAGAAATATGTTTGCGCATCATCTCTTGTAATCAACATATCATCAACATGTACAAGATGTAGAGTATATCCATTTGGAAAGAGATGCATAAACAATGTAGGATCATCAACATGACCCCTATTGCAGACAAAACGCTCAAACCAAGTACGTGGAGCCTCTTGAGACTAAATAAAGTGCGACGAGGACGACAAACATATTCGGAGGGGGCATCAACACCCGATGGTTGATGCATAAACTTCGTCATGCAGATCACCATGAAGAAAAACATTCTTCACATCCATATGAGATATGGTCCAAAACGAGTAGCAACCACTATAATCAAAGTGCGAACAATGATCATGTTGCTAACAGGAGCTAAAGTCCTATCATAATCTCGTCCCTGGCCCGCAAAAAGCCTTTAGCAACAAGACAGAGCTTTATATCTCTTACCATTTGACTTGGCCTTATTCTTGAACTCACTTACAGGTGATAGGTGTCATGTGACGGTAATACAACAATGTCCCAAGTGCCAATGATCAAATGCAGCAAGCTCCTTAGACATAGCCACATAGCAGCTCCCACTTCGTAATACTCGAAACCTCCCAATAAATTGATGACTCATTAATAATAGCATCCGCACTTGGAAAACCCAACCAGTCAGGAGGCTCAATAGTACCTCGATCACGTAAATTTTTTCTCTGACCAACTTAGGATTCTCTGACCTAGGATTCTCTAGAAATAGCCTGTGACACATCGGAAGCAATATAATCATGAATGACAAGAGCGTCAGGACAAGCCGGAGACAATATAATGATGTGGACGCATTGTGTGACCTATGAGACGACGGATGTAGACTTGTTTGATAAGTGGTTTATATGTAAGACGCTCGTCATAAATGGGCGGTGGAGGCTCATCACGAGAGGTTGAGAATAAGGAAGATGGTGATGAGGCACGAATATCATTAGTAAAAAAAGTCGGAGGAAGACATAAGTAGAATGTAGACTTTATAGAAAAAGAAGAAGATGTTGGGTGGATGGAAGAGATATAAAAGGAATGATGGTGCTTGACTAGGTTACATCAAGAGATACACATATGCCACAAGCGAGAAAATCATAACAACGACAATCCTTATGCTAAAGAGTATACCCCGAAAGACATACTTAATCGACTGAGCAGTCAGTTTACTGTCTCACGAGGAGCAAGCAAAACATAACATGTACATTCGAAAATCCGAAGATGATTATAGCTAGGGAGAGTACCAAAAAGTACCTCACCAGGACACTTGTCTCGCAGTTTGAATGGCGGTTGTCGATTGTCGATTGTCAGTTGTCGGTTGATAAGATAAACAACTGTAGAAATAGCTTTTCCCCAGAAAATGGAAATGAGAATGAAGAAAGGGGAGTCAGGTTCGAGCAGTCTCAATGAGATGCCAATAAGATGCCGGTGTTTTCTTGCTTTAACACCATTCTGAGCATGTACATCAGGAGCAGTGTTGGGCAAGAGTACTCCAGAGGTGAAAAACCAAACCACCAAAATCAGTAAGAAAGACTTGAATAGGAGTAGAAAATTGAGTATAGACTATGCGAGCAAAAATCTTGTAAATGGGATACAATTGGGAAAGATGTTTCATAAAATAAATTCAAGTATATCGAGACATCAGTAAATATAACATAATATTTTTTTCCACCTTTGTAGGATACGGAGAAGTGCCAATACATTAGAATGAATAACATCAAAAGGAATAACAAAATGAGAAGTACTAGTAGAATACGGTTGCAACTGTTTGCTGAACTTGCGACCCTTACAATGAAAACTAGATTCGATAACCAAAAAAAGAAAAAAATAGATTTGATAGATATTCGACCTAAACAATCATTACTAATCAAAGTAGACAAACGAGACCCACATAAATGACCAAGATGATGCCACTTGGTGAAGAGTGAAGTGGAAGACGAGGCAACATATGATACACGAGCAATAGAACTAGCAGAAGAGAAAAAATGCGAAGTGTCTTAAATGTAGAGATTCGGAGAACCTCTACGACAATGGCCTGTTTTGCCTCGATGATCTTTAGAAAAGAAGATGAGTCATCAAATCCAACAAAACAATTTTGATTAGTAACCTTGGCAATTGAAAGAAGATTCATGGATAACTTAGGAACACAAGAGATATAGACACTTAAAAACATGAATTTCATAGAGGCGAGTGATACGAAAAGATGTGGCATTAGCTGTGTGCATAGATGTACCATCAGTAACTGAGTACCCAACTTGCAGACAACCAGGGACTTATCAGATGTCACATGAAAAGTGGCTCCTGAATCGAGGATCCAATATTGAGGAGCATGGACAAGAGAAGCAACAACAGTAGTAGACCCCTTTGTAGCTTGAGTCGTACTACGAGCCCGCGTAGTACGATGTGCACGATACTCAGCCAGAGAAGTTCTCTGGATGCTGAGAAGAATAATTATCTGCACTATGATGTCGTTCCGCAATGTTTACGAGTTTATTATGATCCACCTCAGGTGCACTTAGCCGTGGAGAAGATGCCATGAGAAGCTCCCAGTACATTAAGAGATACTGATAGAGGAGCAACTAAGAGATACTGATAGAGGAGCAACTGACATAGTCTCTTCAGCAATTAAATAAGATAATTCCTTTGCAAGGTTAGAGTAGAAGAGTTGCGAATCGACCGTGTACGAATGGACTCAAATTCAACTCTTATTCCCGTGACAAAGCAATATATGAAACATTTCTTAAAAAACTTATGTGTTGAACATTCTTCTTCCGTGCGTCGAGGTACCATGGGGATCAACAATCCAATCAAACGATCAAAATCCGAGTGATACTAAGGCATATCGTTCTGTTCAATCACATGAATTTGTTGCACAAGTGTGTCCAATAGTGAACCACTATCTTGAACGTAGCGTCGTTGCAAATAGGACCACATTGCCTTAGCTTTCTGAAAAGAAGAAAGGTGACAACCATCACTTTCCCATCATTGATCTGTCATATCTCGATGTCCACAACATTACTATTATCGGCTTTCCAGAATCCCTCAATACAGTTTCCACCAAATATGCCCATTCCCGATAAGTCTGATCATCAAGAGTGATATTGATCGCAATGACATTGAGTTGTAACATGATTCAACGATGTATGACAACACGTATGCTTTTGTGATGGCGGACAGTACATGGGCACCGATGGGGTGCGATGAAATTTGAATGAAGCTGGTATGATCACACGGCAGACAAGCGATGACAATAAACAGGAATGAACGAGCGGCAGATGGATTAGAACACACAAACCCTAAGCCTGACAAGTGGCTGATCTGAATAAAAAGCCCAGAATGGGCACCACACTTCCCAAAACACAAAACCAGCTGCAAGCCCAGAGAATTCTGAGCAGATATAATGTTGCCGGAAAAATTCCAACGAGTCACTCGCCCAGTGCGTGAGATGGCGGGAAACAATCTGTTCCGGCGTGTGTGACCCACACGCATGGAGTTTTCCAGCGAGACTTGGCCGGAGAGTCAATTCCGGGCGGCGAGATAATCTCCCTTGGATGTGGATGACCATAAATATAGAGTTCGTAATGGACTATATGGGCCTTATGTGCTGTTGCGATAAATGGGTCGATATATAGTTACATGTATTAACTTGGTTGTCTACTTACAGCAGTTTCCTTATTAGTTTTGCCTGAGCTCGATTTATCAAAACCTTCTTTCTATTTCTTGTCCTTGTAGCACATTAGAACTTTTGGTTATGTATCTCTAGTGTTTCTGATGCAATTTATCTTTTGATTAATCTTTTCTAGATGATTGAGGTTGATATACCTCTATCCTTGTTTGAGGAACAAGGAAGACAGCTTTATGGAGCACAACTGTTGCAAATTCAGGTTAAGACTTGCACTGCCAATTCTAATTTAAATTTTTATTATATTTTTTTTATGAGACATGCT